CACAAAAGCTTACAACCTCTCATCCTCCTCCTCATTCATTAGTCAGCTCGGTTTCACTTGCTCCAAAAGCCTGTTCCTAACCGCCATGCTGATTGCCCCCCTTTGTGTTCCCATTGCACTGCATGTATAATTAAGCACAGATTTTTTTCAATATTGTAGTATCTAATCCCTTCTTTACCTCTCCAATAAGTTTTTAAATTCCTCAAGGACAAGAAGTGGATTTTATTCATCTTTGTTTTTCCTGTTCCCAGTTTTATCCACCACATAGGCTCTTAGTAACTAAACAACCCAATGAGACTATTTTTTAAAAAGCTTGCCTGCCCAACTCTCCTCTTCCCTGCCAATAATTTTTATTACACCCTAGAAATAATGCCAATCTGCCACACTGAAATTAGTGGAAGGAAAGGCAAATTTTCAACTCTATTTTAAGAAAATACAAAGGAAAAAAATCAGTATTTTATCTGCAGCTTTAATTTACTAAAGCAAAAATTCTTATTTATCGAAGTCATATGGAGATCATGGAAGTGAGAATACACAGTCTTTGAATTTGGTTTCTGACTCTTAGCAAGTGTGTGTGCCTTAATTCTGCTAAGATTGCAATGTGTGGGCACACAGGTGAGCCACTGCAGAGCTTAACTGTGAAGTATTGGGGACATTAACAGGACATAATAATGTTCATATCTTTGAAATATGAAATATAATTTGAGTTCATTGTAGTCGCAGAGCTGGGGTAAAAATTTCAAAATTTTCTAGTCTAGCCTAATTCGTACATCCCTACTCCAAGATCCCAGGCAAGAACTAAAGTTTTTGCTTGACTGTCTCCAGTGATAGTGGACTCACTATTGCTAACAATTTTAATATCAATATTATTGCCTATCACTGATATGCTAATCCAGTAGTGAAATAATTGACTTAATTGGATAAAGAGAATACATTTTTTTTTTATAATTCAGCGATGCTCTGCTTTCTTCTAGACAAAGGAATCTCCCCTCCATGAATCATCAGTTTTTCTCAGTATTGAGTGTGATCATGATTTAGGAGCTATTACAGCACCAAAGTTTACTAATATCAAAAGCAATACCCAAACTAAACTTTATATGCACGAATTTAAACTTAGACTATTCAATAGCAAAAAGATAAGGGGGGGGGGGGAAATAGGTGAAGCGTATAAAAAAATGGATTTATTTCACAAAAACTGCAACATTGAAGGATTTCTCAATTTGGAGCATAGCAAGCATTAGATTATGGCATCTGCTAGTCAAATTGAATTCAACCACGGTAAGCATTTTAAACTCCCAAATACATGGAGAAAATTTTGAAATCCTGAGTACTTTCAGTCTACAACTAGGGAATTCTAAGGTGCAGAGAAACTTTTATGATTCCAGGAAGGTTGAGTAATATCTGAATGCTTCCAAATAGAAGAGTTTCTAGAGTCAAGAATGTTCTGGAAGGCTGGTAAAAGGTAAAGGATAATAACACATATTATACTAGAAAGTGCTTGGCATAGTACCATAAGGATTATAAATAAATATCTATCTTTTTTCACCAAAGCTTTTACTCACTTTTTAATAGTTTTATTATAAACATGCAGAGGCCATATTCTAACCTTCCCCTATATTGATGTGTGTGACTTTGCAGTGCCCACATGCTGTGACAGCAGGCTTGACCATGTGACTTGCTTTAGACAACAGATGAGATATGCACAGAAACTTGAAGAGTGTATGGGTCCAGGGGGTCAGGAATTGCCCCAGCTCTTGCATTTCTTCCTGTTCTGTAAGAACATGACTAGGCTAGCCTGCTGGAGGGATACAGGAGACACAGGGGGAAGGGGCAAAGTCAAGTCCCTCTAGCCAGCAGCCCACAGATGCGACAGTCACCCACTGACAGACAGCCCATACCGAGACATGGGAGTTATTTCCTTTCAGACCAGAGTGCTGTACAGACTAGATTGCTGGCCAACAGATTCATGACCTAAATAAATACCTATTGTTTTTGGTCAGTGTGATTTGGATCTGACTCAATAGTTTCTTATTTCTTTTATTTCCACAAACACCCCATGATTTGACAGTGTGGAGAATCAATGTGCGGGATGGACACAACAGCATTCAAAAGGAATGAGGAATGTTCCTCAGAGTTGGGGATAGTGTAGTTAAATGAAGATTACCTGGACCAAGATGGTAACTCCAAAGGTTCTTCACTCATAAACACTATCCCTTGTTCCCATTTCCTCAACACACCTTGAAGTAAGGCTTATGATTTAACTACATCCCCCAAGTTCACATTATCAACCACAAAAATAGGTATTCCCAGTAGAATATGAAAAAGAGAGAGGAAAAACAGAAATAAAGATCAGAACTATTAAAAAAAGCTAATATACAAAGCAATCTTTCTGGTTGAGGCAGAATAGATGCATATGAAAGAAACAGGAATTTTAAATATTCACACTATAGTGCTTAAAGGGAGAAGTAAGGATATTGGAAATGCCAAGGAGAAATAACTACAAGGTTTAATCAGTTAGGGGTAACTAACAAAATTAAAGCAGAACATTAGACCTTGAAATTACCAGGATGAATTTAGTTTATCTATGGAAGTTAGTAAAAGAGAAAGATAAAAGGCAATAGAAAGTATAATAAATAGACCACATGAAATAAAATTTCAGAAATAGCTGAAATGTATAATAAATTTAACTGGGTTAAATATACCAATCAAAAGAGAAAGATTTCAATTAGATCATTTGACAGGAGCAATGCTAAGTGTTCACCACCATTTTCTCTTCTTAGGCAGACAGAAAGAAGGCATTGCCCAGTCTTCCTGACTGCTACTTTGGGAATGTATGAGTTCTGGACTGTGCTAACTGGCCAGAAGTGATGTAAGTTACTTTCAAGGCTTGCCCTTAAAAATATGATGCTCTAATTCACCTTTCCTCTGCTAGATCAACTCAAGAGCCATGTGTTACAGCTTTTATAGCATCCTATTTCCCTGAATCATCTTTTGGAGCAGAATCACAAAGATCCATGTTTCCCACATCAAACTATGATGTGAGTGAAAAATGATAAATCATTGTTGCATTCTTTGGGTTTTTATTTGTAATCACACACTGAAATAGCCTCATCCTAATATTGAGAAAGAGCTGTGGCCATAAATTATTTCCAAGGAATAGTTTGAATAAGGCGGGATTCTTCAGAACACTAGAAATCTGAAAGTAAAAGTGTTTTTCAAGGACACCATCCCACCCCCTGCATTGATAGGAATCTGGTCTCTCTGGTGCTAAATTTAGTTCAAGAGTCAAGAAACTGTATGTTTCTATGCTTTCTCATAAAGTAAAATGATTTCTAGCATAAGCTGTTCTGGAGTTGCATTGTAAGCCTGAAATAAAAAGACAGATATGCAATAAAAATATGGCATTTTCCTGAACCCTGCCAGACATAGACTTCATGGGAAGTGTCGCTTGTAGCAGTGCACTACATAGAAACAAAGCAGGAAAACAGTCATTCAAAGATATGCTTCTGTTCCTGGTTTACCACCTTCCTTCCATTAAGTTCTGATACTCTCATTAAATAAAGAATTTATAAATCACGTTTTTTAGAAGGTATGTATGTGTTCTCTTCCCATCGAATCATAATCTTATGTGCAACACTTAATGCATTTAAAATGGAAAAAAAAAAGAGTGAAAAATAACCAGGCAAATGTGGCTAAAAGAAACATGGTGCAGGACTATTAGTTTCAGACTAAATAGAATTTAAAGCAAAAAATCATAACAGATACAAGTTTACTTTGTATTTACTTTGTATGTGAGCTGACAAAAAGAAAAGACCCCAAAGAGATGATAATAATTATATAATATGATATATCATGATATATTAGCACATAGAATATATACACATAATCTCTGAAAGCAATTGATTAACTATGAGAAGAAATAGCTAAATTAGTAATTCTTGTTAGAGATTTAAAAGCCTGTATGTCAGAAACAGATAGCTCAAGGAAACAAATTAAAAATTAATATACATGATAATTAATAACTATGTACCAAAAGACATATAAGCTACTTTATACCCAGTGAGTACACTTTTTCTTCCAAAGTACACATGAAATATTCACACAATTCAATCAAGTACAGAATCACAAAAAACCCTCAATAAATTGTAAAGAAACATTATCTTAGAGAGTTTTCTAAGTATTACTCAATAAAATTAGAAACCAAAACCAAATATAGTCTTATAGAAATTCAAAAGAGCCATAAACCAAAAAACATACAACTATGAAGCACTTGGATTAAAATTTGTAAGTGAAATACTAAATTTATAGCTGAGTGTGAATAAAAGCACTCCATGTAAAAATTTCTGGGAACCAGTGAAGGCAGTACTGTGAGGAGCTTATATTCTAAAATTATTTATCATAAGACAAGAAAGGTTATAAATACATGAGCTAAATATTCCCAAAAGTGCTAAGGGAAAAAAAAAACACAAGAGAATAAATCTGAAGAAGAGAGAAAGAAGCAATGAAGATAAGGACAGAAATTAATAAAGTAGAGAAAAAATACAGATAACAATAACAGCTAACATGTTTACAGCATATACCGTATACTAAGGGCTGTTCTAAGTACTTTACATATATTGACTCATTCAATCCTCATGACAACCCTTAGAGATAGGTAAAATTATTCATTCTAATATTATAGTTGAATAAAGCAGTGCACAGAAAGATTATACAATTTTCCCAGGATCACGAAGCTAATAAGGAGCAGAGCTTGATTTATAATCTGTGCTTTTATCAACTGTGCTATACTAATCCAAAAGCTGATTTTTCTTTTGAAAAGACTCTGTAAGTAGATAAGCCTGCAGAAAGACTGATCAAGGAGAATGAGAAAATGGGAGAGACCGAGAAAGAGGAGAGAAAGAGGAAACATTGGTGTTTCAGTCAGGATAATTAAGGATAGCTGACACACCAAGCCCTAGATCTCACCAGCGTAATATCATAAATGTTGATTTCTTGCTTACTTCACAACTGTTGGTCAGTTGAATCCATGGAGTAACTTTCCTTAGGCAGCGATCCAGGATCCATGGAAGCTGTGGCAGAAGAAAGAGAAGAATGACGAACACAGGCTCTTAACTTCCTTGATCTGAAAGTAACATTCTCTGTTCACTTTTTTTTGGTTTGGACCAACAATAGTCACATGGCCTCATCCTAAATGGTAATGAGGCTGGGAACATGGGAAAGCACATGCATTGTTCTGGTGATCACTAATAACCTCTGCAGCTTTTGGAAGATGGGCACCACGAGGATGTGACCACTGGCTGACCCACGTGAGCTGGACCCAGGCAATTACAGGTTCTTCACCCTCTCCCTTATTCTTGGAATGTACATTCTTCCCACCACTCTTACAGTGGAGCTGCACCCCCAAGGATGCAGACTTGAGAGAATAAGGTATTAAGATGATCTGACTGCTGTACATGGCTGAACCCAGTTAAGGCCTTTATTAAACTGTTAAAATCTTAAATTCTGGCAGGTGGGTGCAGAAATCTACTGGTCTTAGAGCCACCCAAAACAAGCCTCATATGTAAGTTCCCTGCTTATTAAACCTTCCATCTGCCCATCCGGAGTGGTCTGCCTCTTTCATTAGTCTCTCCTTGCCTTCTGTGTATAGGGGCCAGTTTGAAAACCAGTAGCAATAAATACACAAAAAAAGTAAGCACAGACTATACAAAGAATAAAAGATACAAGCAGAACTTTTAATACATCATTTTAAAAATATTACTTTGAAGGGAATATTTGGAAAACTGTTCAACAATAAAGTTCACAGCCTCGCTGTAACAGACAAATTTTTAGGAAAAGATTAAATGCCAATGTTGTAACAAATTAAATTAAATATGGTCAATAGCCAAACATTAACAAAAATGGAAATGGTAATCAAAAATCTCTCTCTACCCCTATTTTCCTTCACAACAAAAAATAAAGCCCTTCTACCAGCTAGAAATTTATTGTTTGTCAGCTTAAATCCTCCCTTCATTGTCCTACTTTGTGATACTGAACTGGACTCCATAATATTTCTCCTTTGCTGTAACATTAAGCTTTGCCAGTGAGTGCTATGGAGAAACACTGCAGAAAGAAGGGACCTCTCTCCCTTGTTTTGTGTTTATTCTTCTGTTCTGGGTCCTGCATCATGCAGCTCCCCCACCAAATTTCAATGGAGCCTGCATGGTGGCATTACAGTGAGTTCCACCACCCTCCCAAGCAGCTTCCCAGGGAGTTCAGTAGTTCAATTTACCTGCCCAGGGGTTTGTTGGCAATTTCTGAAGGCCCACCAGCTGACTTTCCAATAATCTCACAGGTGATCTGGTAGGAACTCCTGGTGAGTTCTGCTGGCAGCTCATCCAGCCCCTAGCAATTTTAAGAATACCCCTATGTACAGCTTCCTGTCCCCTTTCTATAGAGTTTTCCAGGAAACTCAGTAGGTGGCATCTTGTTGGGTTTCAGCAGAACTCCAGGGGAAAAACATCCCATCCAGTTCCACCTTCAGCACCCCAGAGGGCAGATTCCTGCAAGGTTTGTTGACAGCCCAGTAGGCAGTTTTCTCATTATCTACTTAGGCCTATGGCACCTCAAGAACTTTTCCACTGTCTAGAGAAACATAACCTCTCTGGAAAAGTCTTAATCTCAGCCTTAAGTGGAATTAGGAGAATCCTTTTCCAATTTGTTCCTTTCTTGGGTACTCTGCCTTGGATACTCAGTCCTAGAAAGAAGTATGTTTTCTATATACATGCTACATCTGTATTTCTTAGAGTCCTCATTACTATTTAATAACTCTTTTTATCCTATTTTCTATTAAGATTACTCTGATTTCTATCTTCTGACTGGATACTGACTGATATAGGGAGAAAGAGACTTAAAGCTTACTTGAAGATATAATGGCTGAAGACTTCCCTACATGGGGAAGGAAACAGGCATCCAGATCCAGGAAGCCCAGAAAATCCCAAAAAAAGATGTGCCCAAAGAGCTCCACACCAAGACACATTGTAATTAAAATATCAAAAGTTAAATATAGAGAATCTTAAAGCAGGAAGAGAAAAGCAAATTGTTACATACAAGGAAAACTCTATAAGGCTATTACCAGATTTCTCAGCAGAAATTTTGCAATCCAGAAGGGAGTGGCATGAATATTCAAAGTGCTGAAAGGAAGAAACTTACAACCAAGAATACTCTACCTAGCAAGGTTATCATTCAGAATTGAAGGAGAAAGAAAAGTTTTCCAGTGAAACAAAAGCTAAAGGAGTTTATAACTATTAAACTGGTCTTACAAGAAATGTTAAAGGGACTCCTTTAAGCAGGTAAGAAATGACACTACTTTATAACAAGAAAACATACAAAAGCAAAAATCTCACTGGAAAAGATAAATATATAGTAAAGTAACTGAATTAATCACCTATAAAGCTACTATGAAAGTTAAAAGACAAAAGTAGTAAAATTAACTAAAACTATAATACTTAGTTGAGGGATACTTAAATAAAAAGATGTAAAATATGAGGTCAGAAGCATAAAACAGAGGGGGAATATAAATGTAGAGTTTTGAGATGTGTTCAAATTTAAGTTATCAACTTAAAATAGGCTGTTTTATACATAGTATGATATATGTGAATCTCATGATTCAAATGGAATTTTTTCCAGGAATGCAAGGATGGTTCAACACCTGCAAGACCCAATCAATGTGATATACCTAATTAACAAAGTGAAGGATAAAAATCATACCATCTTAATAGACACAGAAGAGCATTTCACAAAATTCAAAATCCATTTAAGATAAAAATTCTCAACAAAGCAGGAAAAGAGAAAATATACCTCATCATAATAAAGGCCATATATGACAACCCCACAGCTAATACATACTCAATGGTGAAAAGCTAAAGACTTTTTCTCTAAGGTAAGTAAAAAGACAAGGATTCCCATTATTCCTATTTTATTTGACATAGTATTGGAATTCCTATCCACAGCAAGTAGGCAAGAAAAATAAAGGCATCCAAATTGGAAAGAAGAAAGTAAAACTATTATTACTTTAAGATGACATAACACTATATACAAAAAACTCCAATGGCTCCACAAAAAAAACTGTTAGAATAAATGAATTCATTAACATTACAGGATATAAAATCAATATGCAAAAGTTTCTTGCACTTCTATACACCAATAACAAACTATCCACAAGAGAAACCATCTACCAGAAAACAATCCCATTTATAATCTCATCAAAAAGAGTAAAATACCTTGGAATAAAGTTAACAAGTACTCTGAAAACTATAAGACATTGATGAAAGACATTGAAGACAAATAAAGAGAAAGAATTTGTGTTCATGGATTGGGAGAATTAATATTGTTAAAATGTCTATACTTCCCAAAGAAATCAACAGATTCAATGCAAACCCTATAAAAATTCCTTGGCATTTTCACAGAACTAGAACAAATAATGCTTAAATTTATATGGAGCCCCAAAAGATCCTGAATAGACAAAACACTCTTGAGAAAGAAGGACAAATCAAAAGGCATCATGCTCCCTGATTTCAAGCTATATTTGAATTCTATAGTAATCAAACAGTATGGCATTCACATAAAAACAGACACATAGTTCAAAGGAACAAAATAGAGAGCCCAGAAATAAGCCCATGTATAAATGGTTGATTAATTTACAACTGAAGAAGCAAGGATAAACAATGGAGAAAGGACAAGCTCTTCAATAAACGGTGCTAAAAACCTGGAGAGCTACATGTAAAAGAATGACACTGGATGACTGTCTTACACCATGTACAAAATCAACTCAAAATGGATAAAGACTTGAATGTAAGATCTGAAACATAAAGCCCCTAGAAGAAAACATAGGCAGTAAGCTCCTTGACACTGGTCTTAGCGATTTCTGTTGGTCATCGATATTGGCTCCATCTGACATTGTTCTTTTTGGATCTGACTCCAAAGGCAATGGGAATAAAAGCAAAAATAAACAAATAGGATTATATCAAACTAAAAAGCTTCTGCACAGTAAAGGAAACCAACAGCAAAATGAAAAGTTAACCTACTGAAAAGGAAAAGTATTTATAAATCATATATTCCATAAGGGGTTAATAGCCAAAATATATAAAACTCCTACAGTTTGGTAGCAAAAAAACAAAACAAATGATTCAATTAAAAGTTGGGCAGAAGATATGAATAGACATTTTTCCAAAGAAGACATAGATGGCAACAGGCACATGAAAAGATGCTCAACATCACTAATCAACAGAAAAATGCAAATCAAAACCACAATGAAATATCACCTCACACCTGTCAGAATTGCTATTACTAAAAGGACAAGAAATAACAAAGATGTGAAGAAAGGGAAACCCTCATGCACTATTAGTGGAAATATAAATTGGCACAGCCACTATGGAAAATATAGTGGTTCCTCAAAAATTTAAAATAGAACCACCATATAATCTAGCAATTCTACTACAGGGGTATCTATCTGGAGAAAATGAAAACACTAATTTGAAAAGATATATGCACCCTTATGTTCACTGCAGAATTACTTACAATATATTAAATATGGAAACAATGTGAGTGTATTTCAATAAGTAAGTGGATAAAGAAAATGTGAGATATGTGTGTGTGTGTGTATAATGGAATACTACTTAGCCAAAAAAGAATGAGATCTTGCCATTTGTGACAACATGTATTGACCTTGAGAGTATTATGCTAAGTGAAACAAGTCAAAGAGAGACAAATACTGCATAATTTCATTAAATGTGGAATCTAATAAAAAACAAAGAAACAAAACAAAATTTAGATTCACAGAAACAGAAAACATAATGGTGGTACCAGAAGGGAGGGGATTGGAGAGGGTGAAATGGGTGAAGGGGATCAAGGAGTAAAACTTCCAATCATAAAATAAATAAGTTATGGGGATGTAATGTACAACATGGGGAATATAGTCAATAACATTATATTAACTTTGTATGGTGACAGATGGTAACTAGACTGGATTGCAATGATCATTTGCAATATATACAAATGTGTCAAATCACTATATTGTATGCCTGAAGCTAAT